CAAGAAATTGACGTCTCCTGTTTGGCTTTCGCTTTAGAATCTTTTTTCGGCTAGTGCATGTGTATATCTTTTTTAAGCAATTGAATTCGTCGTTACACGGACACTGTCCATCTGGCAATAACAACGCATTCAACGCCTTAGCTTTTGTGACTTTCTGTGCTGATGAAATGTTGAAATTTGCAAATAGGGTGTAGGTTTAAATTTGGGTTTAACTAAATTTAACTGAGTCTAAATCTGGATCAAAGGATTCAATCCAAACTCTACTCATTGACATGCTTGCCTATAGGTAAGACTATGAAGTTGGGAGTACCTTTCATGTGAAATATCATCTGCCACTATCACTATCTGAGACATTGCGACTGCATTATCCTATTCCATCAATTAATACTATGGATTGACAAAATAATGTACCTGAAACGATTATACAAAACCTCAAAGGACCTAAGTACCAACGTGCAGTATTTAGTAGTCCTAAAATCCATGACAGAGTGCTTATCCGCAAGCCGAATGTCTACTTGGACTTCCTCTGGTCAGAAACCCGTGCTCCCACAATCTTGCAAACAGGTTCGTTTTCAGGCAGAACAAGCTTTACAGCAGGATGGACTTTGAGGTCACCCATGGATAGCTTCTGGCCGACTTCCAACTCACTCAAATCCACATCTATATATGGAGGAATGACATCCGGAGGGCAGAGGTACTTAACAGTTCTCTTGATGATATTCAAATAAGCCCCTGCCAGAATGATGACACTGTTAAAAAAAAAAAGAAAAAGAAAAGAAGGTGTTTTGTTCCCAGAGAGTAAATAACTTAGATGAGGAAACAGTACAACCTACAGGATGCTAAACTAAAGAAGCAAAGCAATTGAATCAAAACAAATTAGAACAAGAAACCCCGCTTGTTTAAGACAACTGGATGTTAAGAGTAGATTGATGAAACATCAGCGTACCACCAACTATGCCTTACTCTACAAATTCAAAGAAAACACTTACCACTTGCAAACTCAACAATTCTAAGTCTTCTGGAGGGGAATCTAACTTGAGCGAAAAGCAAGAAAAGAAAAAACAGCAATTTAATATTTCTCGGGTACATATATCCACATGAATGTCTAAGCTAGAAATCAGAAATCAGACTTGGTAGAAGGCATATGTCTCAAAAGAATAAAAACATTTCGCAACAACACAACTGGAAGACTATGACTGCAAAGATGTTTCATACCTTGCTTCAGACCAGGGCAGACATCCTCTCCTCTGAATACAAGAGGAACATCAACCTTTAAGAGAGCACTTGATGGGGCTCTTATGAAAGTAACATTAAGCACAGCGTCAGTTCCTGAATGCAGGTGAAGCTGACACATAGAAAGACATAGAGTCAAGATACACATAAGTGAAAAGCATTGAACCATATCAAATAAAATACTTGTAGTGCAAAATACACGAAAAAGGATTTGAACCGCATGAGCCTACAAGGCAATTACGTAGTCCTAAAATCTTTTAAGGACCAATTTTTGTGCGGATAGTTACTGGGTTAATTAATCACTTCAAACTCGCATTTCTTTTTAAGTAGTGAGCATGTATAGCCTAAGGTATATGTGCACAGCATGAAGTATGTAGTAGCAAAGGATGTGTTGCCACAAAATGCTGCATGCCAGATCTAGGTTGTTACGTATACCCTCAGTGAACAGCCATGGGCATGGAATGCCAATTTGATGACCAAAATTTGAACCCAAAAACAGAAGGACAATGGTGAAAGCTCCAAATGCAACTTCTGTTTCAATAGGTGAATTTTCAATGAAATTGATAAACTTCCATCAGGCCATTCAACTTCCCTCCCCTGTCATTCAGATCCCAAAAGCTTAAGCTAAAGACTCCAAGATCTTACTTATGCTTTCAGTGGAATGTATTTGTAGCTTGAAATCACAATCAGAGAATCTCAATTCAATATAAATTTTCTTTTCCTTTTGTTAATTAAAATGACTGAATAACAGACACCCCAGACTCAACCAAGTCAGCTTTCCATCCAACATTATCCACAACGACAATTGCAGACCTGCAATCCAAATATCATAAGCATTTTTCACCCCTATGGTCTTCTATTATTCTTCTAAAGAGTCAAAAAATAACCTGCACTTCGCACAGCTATATCTTCCCCGATCCTCATATAAGAATTAGCAAGTTCAATTGCTAGAATTCTTCCAGGAAGCATTGTCTTTCCTAACTTCAAAATATAAACTAGTTGAACGTCAACCAAACCAATTACAGAATAACATAATTATCACCATTTAAAACCATAGTTCGCAGTAATGCCACCATCTACCAATCCCCAAATACAATTCCTTTCAAAATTAGTTTATGTATTATACAACAAATATTATTAAGCTTCTTATAGTTATAATCTCAGCTAAAGTATCCACAAATTACCTAGTTTTTCTTTACGAAAAAAATGCCACAAAAGTCGTTTCTTTAACTAACTTCACGAAATATGGAAAATACAATGCAGAATCTGCCTATAGACAACTAAACGACAAGACATGACATACCAATCTGGGCAAGACCCGAACTTTCTCAATTACTTCCTCGGACTCGAATTCTGGTAGGACCTCAAGATCATACACCCTTGAGAGGAAAAATGACCGACCCATTTGATTAACTAGCTTCTTGATCTGATTGTTTTGTACAGAGATAAGCCTTTTGTTGCCTCCGTGCTGCCCATCTTCTTGCTCGAATACTATGCTGGGAACCCGACCAACTTTTCTTTCTTTAGCACTAATGATCTTTCCGCTCTTGGCCCGTGGGATAGCGTGGATGGTCTCTGCATATTTGGGGTCGGGTTTTGGGAATCCCGGAAGATATTCGAGTGGCGGTGTGGAGGGAGCTTCGACCCGTTCTTGGAAAAGTGGAGCCAGGCTGAAGTGGCGGAGGTGGTGCTGGAGGATTCTGATCACCGCCGGTGATTTTTGGACCAGCATTTGGATTTCTGGTCGGTTTTCCTACAGAAAATGATGATAAAAATTTGGAAAAAGGAATTTGTATTTTGTAGAGTGAGGATGAAGGAGGGCTTTAGGAGGGTTCTGACAGAGGCAATTGGAGACTTACTTTTGGGTTATTGGTCCGGGGTTCGGCCTTTTTTGGGACAATACAAATGGGCTGTCTTTTGGATTCATGAAGCTGAAAAGTGGTTGGTCTTATGAACATTGGGCTACTTGTACACTCGTGTCACTGAGCTTAAACAGCATTTGTATTGGCCCAAAAAGTGGTGTCCCCAAAAGCCATCAGTCTCTATTTTGACTTTTTCAACTCTCCCGGTTTCTCCTTCTAACTTTCTAAGGTTTGGGGTCTCTCATTGGACCCCCAAAAAAAAATGGGGGTGCAAAAATTAAGGAGCAGTTTGGTAAAATGCGAAGAACCACAAAAAATCATTGGCGAAATATATATTCTCTCTCCCATTAATTAGGTTTTTGTTTATTTTGGTCATGAAATTATTTATTTGTCCACTTAATTGTCTCCACGACTTGAAAATGTATTGAAAGTGACAAATGCTCCTTATCCTTCTTCGTTTCTTAAATTTCATCCGTCCTCTTACTAATTTTTTTAATAGAAAAAGGTATAAAAAATGTGGATGTGATATGTGTCTGATTGGCACCAAAAAGAAAAAGGATGAAAAAAAAATAGAATAAGAAGTTTGCTTTAAAAGTGTGTGATTCTATTGTTCTTTCTCATTGTTCGGCAGTGGTTTGCAAACAAATTTGGCTTTGTTTGGATTGTGAATTATTTGTCAAATTATATCTGCTTACATCATCATTACAATTTCCAACGCACCTTTTTATCTTCCCAATTACCTTTTCATCTCACATATATCACATTACAAAAAAGTGCTACAGTAAAAATATCTCAAATAATTCACAATCCAAACAAACCACTAAAATGAAGGATTGCACTTAACCCCCAAAGAAATTGAGAAGACTTATCTCACTCTCTCTCGTTTATCTTTTATCCCGAGTTGTCCTTTTTCTCTTGCTTTCTTTCTAGAAACTCGAAACCAATTTTGTGTAAGACCGATTTGGAGGGTACAGATTGATCATTTAGTTGTTGTTTGGCATGCCCTGTCTCTTTCTCCAAATGGATGAATATGTAAATGATCACATTCTCAGGCATAATTGTGAAGCTGGCCCTCATATTTCATGAATGGCAGTTTGCCACGAGAAATGGGTTAGAATAAACGAAAAGAAAATGATAATAATAATTAAATAAGACCCCAAAAAAAAAAACGATCGCCAGTGGGACGACCGGGGGAAAACTACGTGTCCCTCCTAGTGGGGATTCTTAGAAGATTCACACATAAATTAACCCAATGCAACAATATATACGTGGAAGGTAGCCCATGCACGCAATAACTTGTCATTCTCCCCCTCCTTAATTGCTAAGGCTCATGTAGCAATACTTTGATGGCTACTTTTTAGGGTTTATTTATAGAGAAATATATCATAATGATTTAATATGTATACTCCCTCCGTCCCACTTTGATAGTCCTGTTTTTCTTTTTTCCCTATCCCAAATTGTAGTGCACTTTCCAATTGAAAAATGTAGTTGTATTTTAATTTTTTTAAAATACCGTTATTCAATGTAAGTTATTGTTACTATAAACCTACCCCATTTAATGAGACTTAATTCTTTTTTTACCATTAATTCAAGTTCCCATAAAGTTGTACTCTAATTAATGTGAAGGTATTTTAGAAAAATAGCTACCTAAATTGATTGTTCTAACAAAATTAACTACTTTTTCTTAAATTATGTGAAAAAAAATAGGACTATCAAAGTGGGACGGAGGGAGTATATAATAAAAAAAATATATTCAGGGACGGAGCCAGAAATTTATTTTTGGGGGGGCTGAAGTGTATTAAAATTTTTTTTTTGTGACGAAATAAATATATTTAATAAGTAAAATTTAGAATCAATAATTATAAAAATAATAAAAACATATAATTATACATACCCAAAAATTTGTTATTGATTAACACTTGAAGTATTGATAGTTGTTGCACTCGAATAACGAAGAGGAGGCAATTGCATTCTGCGAGTCTTCATCCGTTGAAAACGCTGCAATATTTGCTCATTTTCAATTATTGCAAAAATATCCTTCTCGATGTATACAACCAAACAGTCATTCATCCACTCGTCTCCCATTTTGTTGCGCAAATCAGTCTTGACAATATTCATTGCAGAAAATACTCTTTCAACAGAAGCAGTCGCAACTGGTAGAACTAATGCCAACTGGATCAGACGATAAACCAATGGAAAAACTGTATTTTTACCAGTTTTAACCATTTGTTGAGCAAGACTTCCCAAATCTCCAACTTCTGAAAATTGAGGATCGCGTTGCACATTATAAATATAATTTCGAAGTTGAGACTCAAGATATAAATAATCGTTACTTGAGAAGTCTTCAGGATATAAATCAGCAAGACGGAGTAGTTTCTGCACATTGAATTGAGAGAAAGAACTTTTTGGATCAAGACATGCTATGCAACTAAGCAATTCCGTGCTAACTTCCGAGAAACGATTATTCATCTCTTGTATAATTAAATCAACAACCTGACATCACAACAATAATAAAATTAATAACTAAGAAAATCTGCTAACAAGTAACAAATGTAATGAAATAATAATTTCAAAAATAATACCTCACAAAAAATTTCCACGCGATAATGATGAAAATTAGTGATGGTTTGACCTCTGCGACTGCGCCTGGCATTGCCACGGATTGCTATACTGTCTTCCATATCAATCACGGGAATCATATTCAACTCACAAAAATTGTTGACTTCATCTAAAATTATTTGCCATCCCTCATCTCTAAAGTCTTGCAATTGAGATTTCATAGTATCAATCAAACTCATGGCTTGGACAATATTTTGATCCCTTTGTTGCAAAACAAGTGACAAGTCATTTGTGATTCCCAATAAATACTTCATCAGGTGCAATGCAAAAACAAACTCATAATCATTCATTCTATCAATCAAACCCCTGGCCATACCTCTATTGTCAGAAGTGGTGGCATCATCTTGTATATTTCCCAATATTCCAATCACCGAAGCCCACATAGAGGATAGACGAAGTAATGTTAAAATAAGGTACATTCAATCTCATAAAAAGTTAAAATAAGGTACATTCAATCTCATAAAAAGTTAAAATAAGGTACAACTAAATACCCATATAATCTCTAATTCAATCTCATAAAATTTTGAATTTATATTTACATTCAAAATTTCTAATTCACATAATTAATTCTTAAAATTTCAAATATAAAACTAACAAAATTTTAAAAACTAAATACAACCTAAAATCTATACAATTTCTAAACTAATTTCTAATTTAAATTTAATATCATTAAATTTTTTAATGTAATCTTTCAAATTCTTAAATTACATTAACATAAACTAAATAAAAATTAATCTTAATCAAATTAATATCAAGATACTCAAAATTCAAAAATAATTTAAACATATAATTAACAAAAATATAAAGATGAATATTGTAATTTAAACCAAAAAACTAACCTAAAAGATTTATGTGAATGGAATGGACCGAATGGTGGAGAGTTGGAGTCTTGGAGCCTTGAATTGAAGGCTTGAAGCAGGATGGTAGAATCTCAACTGAAGCTTCTTGGAGTTCTTGGAGCATGGCGTCTTCTTCTTGGAGTTGGAGTCTTGTTTGCCCTTTGGCACTGGCGGCGTGCTTTTGCATCAGATGAAACCCTAAGGCTTCATCTGATGTATTTTTTTCCCCTCATTATACAAAACGACGTCGTTCCACTAAAAGTGAAACGACGTCATTTTGTATTTAGAGGGCAAAAAAAAAATTCAAAATGAAATGGGTCATCTTCTTCCTCAGCAGTCAGCACGGCAGCGGCTTTCCAGCTCTTCTTCACTTCCTCTGCAGCATTCATGGAGCCATAGAGGATGGTAGTCGGTAGATCTGGATCACCGTGGGGGGCTGGGCTGGGCTGGCCGCCGGAATCCCCTATATATAGGGGGTTTTCCGGCGGCTTGGGGGGGGGCTTAACCAACCCCCCTTAAATCCGTGGCTGATTATATTTATAATTTTCTATGTAAAAACAACAATCCAAACGTAAAAACTACGTACTGATAGTCTATTTTGATCCCATATCTACCTGATTTGTTGTGTGAAATGAAAATGCTTACGTTTATACATTTATTACATCCTTTAAATTTAGGCACATTTTAAATTAATTACACCCTTGCAACAAATAAGCATTCCTAGCAAGCGCACAATGAACACTTGAGAGTTTTACATTCAAGATGATGGGGTTCAAACATTCGAATTAGCTTTTTTTTTTTTGAAAAAATAAAATTAGATTGATAAAGTATATACATGTAAAAGAGGGTGCTAGTTGTTGGTATAGTGAGTTTAATTAACGGGATCCGTTGGAAAAGCCTTCAAACTTTTATAGTACATCTTCTATCTATTACTAGAGGGAAGTCCCACGCGAAGCGTGGGGATTGATACCCGTGGGGATTGATACCTGTGGTGTGGTCAAATAACTTAACAGTGTTTGATAACTTGATATCAAGTGAAACACACTTATATGTTCCTTAAGCTTTCTATTGTCAAAATTAGCATTACATTTTTCTGGTGCTTGACTAGATTCTTTTCTTGAGCAATAACGGCACAGTTCCTTACTTTCCTTTTCCATGTCTAATACAAATGAAAACTCATGGTGTTATCATGTGTATCATTTTCCCCTAAGTTTAATCTTTCAAACAAAATTAGGTTGTTCAATCAGGAACACTCACCATTGTTTTGTTTAATAGTTTTAACAAAATGAACATGAATTTTTAGTGCTTTTCGCTTATTTTCTGTTGTTCCAATCGTATTTTATCTTTTTCTTCTACTGATAACAATACATATCTTTTTCTTGCCTTTTGATTCCCAAATTGCTTTTTAGCATTAAGTTTTTCAATATTGTTTGTTTGATCCATCCTAAATTTCAACCCACAAGCCCTAAACTTAAACATAGAAAATTTATATATAGCATTTGTTTGCTTGACTACTACAACTAAGAACCATTATTTCAATCAATACATGCATCTACAAATAATTAGAGAGCAAATTAATTTTCCCCATTACAAACACTAACTTATATCAAACAATTATCAGGTCTACAGAATTCAATACAAAAAAAAAAAGCATGTAAATATAGCCGTTTATCTATTCAAATGGCAATTTCTATCCACACACAACAACTCAGTCACTTAACTATTGAACCAATAAATTGCATCAACTACAAGATAATTTTCAAAGTGGAACAATCATTCACACACTTGTTCATTTAAGCACATGATTCAAATGGATCAAGTATAATTGTAATAATATTTAATCAATAAATGACATGCATGAAGTGGGAATATAGAGTTACCTTGTACTTTCGGTAGTAAAGTGCAATCTAAGAGCAAAATCTCTCCATACTTCGCCCGCTTGCAATAGAAAGCACAAAGGCTTATTCAGGATTTTATAAAATGGAAACTATGCAACTCATAGGCCAGAAAGCAAGAGCAAAATTGAGCATACCTCTACAAACCCAACTTTGGTATTGTGCAAACCTTCTTAATCCACAATTTTGTACCTTAACAATAGCCATTATTGTAACCTACGTTACAAATTGATGAGCAAATGTTGAAGAAAATGGGAGGTCCTGCATTACTCTTGTAACATTTATTCCAAATGATTCTTTACCTCTCACACTTTAATGGCCTCATCAATGTGCTACAGTTACTAATTCAAATAAGTGCCATTTGTTGCAATAGTTGAATTAATGGTTCTTCAGCTTTAATGATGAAGAAGAGGAAACTTTCTACAGTTATAATTCAAGCATTCATGTTTAGCCTTATGCACCAATATTATCTTAAATGCATTTAATTTGCATAATCAATTCAGCTAAACATACTTGAGGGGAATTAATTTCGCTTTTCTACCCACTTTGCTAAATCAATGGCAAAGTAGCCAAATCATTAGCCACTAAAGGATACAGTAGGTAAACCAGGCGAAATTAGGCAACAGAAACTTGTGCATTTTTCTTAATTAATACTGTTATATTTTTACCATTACCAAAACGCCCCTATAAATGTTAGATGAAAATCACCCAAGAGTCATACAACAACTCCTTTTTATATATACTCCCTCCCTTTTTTTATAACTGACGTTTAAGATTTTGCACGCCAATTAAGAAAAGTTTTTCATTGTTTAAATCTATACACTACTTTCCTTTTGTACCCTCATTAATTATCCAATTCACTCATATTTTCTCTCACTAAAGTATTAAATGGTGCTGTTTTACTAGGCCAAAAGTAAAGAGAGAAGTAATAATTACTAGGAGTAGTAATTAAGAGCCCTGTATTGGTAAAGAGAGATAAAATGGTAAAATTGTGAAAAAATAATTAATGCTGCATGAGAATAATACAACGACAGATAAAAGTACTTAAGAGCAAATTTCTTAAACGCCAGTTAAAAAAAAGGGAGGAGTATATAGGACACTAGAATGGAGGACCTTCACAATTTCCATTACGTTCCTTAATCAGCACCCTCGAGTCGAGCTTCGAGTAAGTTCGGAACCAATCGGCACGCCCAATCGGCAAAGCTTCACCTCAAATCAGACATCGTAATCTCGAGGGCCCAGATTCATTTTCATTCACTACTCGCCACCAACGAAATTACTACCCGTAGTCCCCGTCTCTCTTATCTTAATCACCAAGTCTTTTCACAGCCAGAGCCAGACCCCTCCCTCCTCGTATATAATAATAATAGTACGTTTGTAAAAATCCCCTTCATTTCTCCCTTCTTCACCCTTTTTCCTCCAAAACCTCTGCCCTCATCCAGTTCACAATCCGGATTTCTCTGTATTTACTATTCTTAGGCTATATTTGCTCTGGGATCTTCACAGATATATCGTGTATATATATATATATATTGTGGGTTTTACCTTTTTCTTTTTTCTGGAAAAGACAAGCTAGCAAGTAAGGATGGCCGATCATCATCATGAGGAGGATGCAAAGGCGGAATCTTTGATTGAGAAAACTAGGGACAAAGTTCATGGTGCTGATGATTCTTCTTCGTCTTCTTCCGACGACGAAGGCAAAACCTCATCGTTGAAGGCTAAGGTTTTTCGCCTCTTCGGAAGAGAGAAGCCCGTTCACAAGCTCCTCGGTGGGGGCAAACGTACGTTATTTCTTTCGTCCCTTCTTCATAGTCTTACCAATTCCCCATCCTCTTCCTTCCTCCTTTTGCCTTAATTTACTGTCACTATAGTAATATCATAACATCAACTGCTTTGTTTTCGGTGAAGTCATTTTTTTTCCTTTGTGGGATTTGGTGTCGGAAATGAAATTGTTACTTCCTCTGTTCTTAGTTGGTTAAGATGTAGCTCAAATGGGCAAATTGTTTTCCCATTTTGGGTTTTGTGATGTTTTTCTTTGTGTTAATTTTAGCGTGTGAAATCTTTTTTTACTATGTTGATTTTCATGTTTTGCAAACTGTACTTCTTTTGTAACTTATCGAGTTTTGGTAATTAGAGGGCGCGCTGATGATTCGGAATTTTGATTGTGTGTTATGGATCCCGATCTGTTCAAGTGCGGTACTAATTTGTTGTACCAGGATACTTTGGAAAAGATGTTGCCTTTTTTCGAGTTATCTGTTTATTTGTATTGATGATCATCTGGATTGGAGTCGTTTATAGAAAAGTTAAACTTTTTCGACCTCATAAAGCTTGGCTTGTGGTCGTCTTTTTCTTTTGAAGTTGAGATTGTCAACTAGATAAAAGTTTCTCTAACCATTTAAGCTTTTTTAATGGGTCTTCATTTTTTGACATAGATATTGGCTAATGGCAATTTAAAAAAACAAAAAGGAGATTGGGAAATGTTATCTGATGCATATTGATGGTGATTATAGTAGTACATGTTCTTTTCCGTGCAGCGGCTGATGTGTTTATGTGGAGGAACAAACAGATATCAGCAGGAGTACTAGGTGTTGCCACTGCTATCTGGGTTCTGTTTGAAATTCTGGAATACCATTTGCTCACATTAGTTTG